GGCGGCGGCCAGGAATATCACCAAGGGAAAACCGTGGGTCTGCCACTGAAGGGTGGAGTCAGCCAAAATCGCCTCTCCCCCCCCTCGTGCTGTTGGAAAATTACCTACCCGATGGAGTTTTGGGAGCACCAAGGAGGGTTTGGAAGAGGATGCGCACACTCATCCTAGTTCCACGCCTAGCCAGACAAATGTTTGCATTACTCCCAAACAATGCTCCCTCTAAGCTGTGTTGTGAGCAAAAATTCTACTTTGTGAGCTACTGGGCATTCAAGTTGCGAGCGAGGGATTGGGCTGCTGCATAAATCGGTTTGCTCTGGAGCCCTCCTTCCAGAGCTAAGGCAAAAATGTCTGAGCCAGAGGCTAAAATACTGTGAGCTAGCTCACACTAACTCAGCTTAGAGGGAACACTGCTCCCCAAACACACCAAACCTCTTCGAACCAGATGGGACAAGAGATTGTGTGTGCACCACGGGAGGCAAAGCTTCTCTCAAACCACTTCTGTCAACTTCTGTTTGGAATCAACACCTGATTCCACCCTCTTCCTAGGCCCCATCCAAGGTAAGAGAGCCACCCTGAAAGGTTTTATTTCCTCCCAAAAGCAACACAGGCGGTGGCTCAAGTGGTTAAGACACTGAACTGCAGGCTGTGGAAGGTCGGTAGTTCAGCAGTTCGAGACCCAAGTAGTGCCGCATGACGGAGTGAGCTCCCATCTCTAGTTCCAGCTCCTGCCAACCTAGCAGTTCGAAAGCAAGAAATTGCAAGTAGATAAATAGGTACCACTTCGGTGGGAAGGTAACAGCGTTCCGTGCGCTTTGGTGTTTAGTCATGCCGGCCACATGACCACGGAAACGTCTTCGGACAGCGCTGGCTCTTCGGCTTGGAAACGGGGATGAGCACCGCAACCCTAGAGTCGGACTTGACTAGCTTTCGAGCAAGGGAACCTTTACCTTTACCTTTAAAATGGTATTGCAAAACCAAAAAAGCAGAAGCTGTTCCAGAGAGACCTGTGGATTAGCTTGAAGGCCACAGCCCCACTATCTGCTCCTGGCACTCAGAGAGACTGCTGCATATGGAGGCTCCACTGAGATATCACAGTTAACAGCTGCCAATAGCAGCAATCCCTGCTCTGTCGGCTGCCCTTCAGCAGCCCAGAGTTAACAGTAAAGGCAAAGCAACTGTCAGCACTTGGATCCAAATTTTAAAATTTTTGAATTCCGATTTTTTTTAGAATCACCACCGCGTTATGGGGTTAGGGCCACAATCCAAAGGTCTATCGCTCAAAGACAGCCCTACAGCTCGGGGGAAGAAGGCCTGCTTTGCAAGGTCCCAAGTTCAAACTGTGGTATTATGCTGTCTTGGCTGGTTGCCACCGAGACTACACACTGGAAGCTGGAAACACAGTACGGAATCAAGGCCAGATAGCCGGGAAGTCAATTCAAGGTTGCAGGCTGCAAGGACAAGGAGCGGCTGCTACACACACAGGAGCAGGTCTGAGGATGCAGAGTTGCTGCCATGCTGAGCCCGGTGCACTGAGTGCTTTTGAGCAGGTCCTCCCTTCCCTGGGAGTTGAGTCTGCCAAGGCTTACTGCTCTTCCCTCTGCCTCCGCAGGAGCTGAAGTCTGGCACTCCTTCGCTTCTGCATAGTCAGCCTCTGGTGTGCCCTACGTCTGGGGCACTCGGGAGAACTAGGCGGGGAGTCTGGCCCTCGGGGTGTCTGCAACTGGGGGTGCTGGGCCAGGTGCAGGATCGGTCTCTCAGTCTGGCTGCACCTCCTGTGCAGCTGCTGGGGACTCTTCCTCCTCAGGTACTGCTGAGGGTTCTTCTTCTGGGCTGAATCCAGAGGGGGCTGGGCTGCTCCCTGCCTCTTCCTCATCTGAGGAGTGGTCAGCCTCAGCAGAGCCTATTCCCATGACAGGTATCTCCAGGAGGCAGAGCTGCAAAGGTATCCCAACGCAGACAGGGCTCCCTGAAATCCTGCACAACCGCTGCCAGTCAGAGGACGCAATGCCGAGCAAGAGGGACCAATGGTCTGACTCAGCGGAAAGCCGCTTCGTGTGTTTACAGGCCACACAATGACTGTCAAATGATTAAAAGGTGGAACTCACTGCCAGAGGAAGCAGAGATGGCCACGGGAATAAGCAGCTTCAAAAAGGGATTAGATTCATGGAGGAAGGGTCTATCGGTGGCTACTAGCCATGGTGACTGAGGGGAACACCACACTAATCCTCTGAATCCCAGAGCCAGGAAGCAACATCAGGGGAAGGCCTCGGCCTCCATGCCTGTTGTTGGCCCTGCAGAGGAACTGGTTGGCCACGGCGTGAGACGGGATGCTGGACTAGATGGACCCTCCCTGGTCTGGTCCTGCAGGGCTCCTCTGCTGTCCTTATGAAGGCCTCTGCCTCTCTGCCCTGTTGTTGGCCCTCCAGAGGAACCATTTGGCCACTGTGTAAGAAAGGGAGCTGGACCAGATGGACCCTCACTGGTCTGACCCAGCAGGGCTCTTCTGATGTTCTTATGAAGGCCTTGGCCTCTCTGCCCTCTTGTTGGCCCTCCAGAGGAACTCGTCGGCCACTGTGTGAGATGGGATGCTGGGCTAGATGGACCACTGGTCTCATCCAGCAGGGACCTTCTGATGTTCTTACCAGGGGAAGGCCTTGGCCTCTCTGCCATGTTGTTGGCCCTCCAGAGGGACTGGTTGGTCACTATGTAAGACAGGATGATGGACTAGGTGGGCCACTGGTCTGATCTAACAGGGCCCTTCTGATGTTCTTACCAGGGGAAGGCCTTGGCCTCTCTGCCCTGTTGTTGGCCCTCCAGAGGAACTGGTCAGCCACTGTATGAGATGGGATTCTGGGCTAAATGGACCCTCACTGGTCTGATCCAGCAGGGCCCTTCTGATGTTCTTACTAGGGGAAGGCCTTGGCCTCTCTGCCCTGTTGTTGGCCCTCCAGAGGAACTCGTCGGCCACTGTGTGAGATGGGAAGCTGGGCTAGATGGACCCCTGGTGTGATCCAGCAGAGCCCTGATGTTCTTACCAGGGGAAGGCCTCTCTGCCCTGTTGTTGGCCCTCCAGAGGGACCGGTTGGCCCCTACGTAAGACAGGATGATGGAGTATATGGACCGCTAGTCTGATCCAGCAGGGCTCATCTTAGGTTCATATGTCCTCCGACACCTCCCCTTCGCATTTCCATGGGTTGCTTTACATGCATGGGGTTTACATTCTTAGGTTGCTTTACATGCTACTTGGGAAGCTCAACTCCCAGCATCGTGGTGCTAAGCTGGGGGGGGGAGCAGGAAGCATAATCCATACGGCCCTTGTACCTCCCCCCCCCTTCCCACACCTGCATGCCAGCTCAACATTATTTCCATCACCTGATAATTCATGATGGCCCGGAGGCACATGATACAGACGTGGACGTCGTCCTTCTGGCTGACGATGCGCGAGTTCCGCAGAGCCTTTCTGCTGTGGGCCAGATTGAGTCTGAGGCACAAAGAGATTGAAGGAGAAAGGGAAAAACAACAATGGCGGAATGAGGGATGCTCCTCACCACTCAGCGCGGCAGCACACGAGTTGGGGCTTGGGGTATGTGACGGGTGGGAGGCCAGGTTCCAGCTGGGCAGCAGGACTGCCAAACAAAAATCTCTTTTCACCTCTAATTCCCCACCTCAGATGCTACCTAGGAGATGTTGCCAGCAGTGGAAAACTCCGTCATCCCCACCGCCTTAGCAGAGAGTCTGGGAGGAGGAGGAGGGCGGGCAGACAGGCCGTGGCAAGTGGCTCCAGGAAAGGGGTTAACATATTATGGGAGGGATGACCTTTAACAGGTCTGCAAATGAACATGGTAGAACACAGACTGTGTCCAGCCATGTGGGAAATGGCCGTTGTGGTTCAGAGAATCCGAGCTCCTCAGCCTCAAAATCAGAAGAAGGTTTCTAGACCTCATGACGGGGGGGGGGGGGGGTGAAACGACACCGGCTGTTTCTCTTAGCGCTGGAGATGCCCAAAGAGGCCAGGATTTGCTCTTCCCCCCTTGTGACCAGGCTACACCCCACAGCCTTCCTACAGCAATTGTTTATCCTCGTGCCCTTTTTTTTACATGACTAGAGACAAATACATCCACTGGAGCAAAGACAAAAATTCCAGACGGTGCCCCCCAAAGTACCGTGCAACCACAATTTTAAGCATGCAAATCCTTGCAAGCACCCCGCTTTTATGCAACTTGTTCCCAATTTCAGAGTTTGGATTTTAGGACTGCAGAACGTGGGATTAAAAAAATATATAAATGCAGAGTTCCAGGTCTCACTGCTTCCCAAGCACAGAAGCTTAGTAGGGGAGAGCATGCCCCCGCCATGCCGAGCCCAGACTGTGACATCTGACTGCATTCACGGGGGTGGGGTCTGGATAAATGGGGAGAGGCTCACCGGGGTGAGTAGGAGTTGACAGATGGCCTAGGCTTAGGGTCCTGCTCGCACCCGGGAGCACCGGAGGAGGGGACGCTTGGGTGGACTTGTTGAAAGAATGTTTGGATCTGCTGGTTCAAATGGCAACACCTGAAGGAGGTGGAGGATTGGAAGCCTGCAGGACAGGAGGGAAAAATAGGACGCTTCAGGCAGACGCTTCCCCCCCCCAGCCTCCACCACCACCCCAAAACCGTGGGGAGAAAAAGGGGGTACTCTGGAACCACACGGCGGGGCTTTAAAAAGTAAGCCACAAAGCGTTCCAGCAAAATAACTGCGGTTTGTCGTTGCCCTGCTGCCTAACAGAGCATCCTGTCCCACGCTAAGTCACTTCATGAGCTTGTAGCCGAAGTGCTCCCCTCTTTGGACTTCCTGGCTTGGAATAGAGTCCAAGGATGGAGACTCTCAGGCCAGGAGACGGGGACAAGCCCCCTTCGATCCGCTGGCCTCGACACACTCCGGAGGGTCAGGGCAGCCGTTGTCGACAACAGCATTTGGCAAAGTCAGCCGAAGCTCCCAAGGCCCCCTCTCCTCCCCAGCAGGGTTCTGATTTTAAAAAGAAACATCTTTAGGGCAAACCTAACAAAATGCCCTCTTGCCAGGGCACACCCCAGGAAAACCACTCCAGGGTCCTTTCCGCACTAGACCTTAGATCCTGGTTCAACCCTGTCCCCGGACTTACATTCTACTCTACGCTCAAGTTCACCCCTGTAATTATCTCGGGATATTTTTTGTTTCACCATTCCATTGAAGTCACCCCGGGTTTCACCCCACACTTGTCCTGGGGATAAACAGATGCTGTTATAACCAGGGATCAATGCAAGGTATTGTATTGCGAGTTGAACTCTGATAAAACCAGGGATGAGAATCCAAGTGTGGAAAGGACCCAGGAGAAGCAGAACTTGGAAAGGGCACCTTCAGCGCAGCCTCCACTCTAGGAACTGACTGGTACCTCAATTTAAGATTTGCCACTGATGTCAAAAACATGGTCCTTTCAGATTATTTCAACTGTTTTGGTTCTTTATCTAGGCTCTACCGATTCAACATACTGAAGATATCAAGTTTCATACAAGATATGAATTAAGCACTGTACGGAACTCTACAGTAGTTATAGGAAAATCTATATTTGTAATGTTAAAATGAAAACAAAGTCTTGATGCATTCAAGGTTGCAGTTTTTAAGAAGAAGAAGAGATTGGATTTATACCCCGCCCTTCACTACCCAAGGGAGTCTCAGAGCGGCTTACAAAACTCCTTTCCCTTCCCCTCCCCACAACAGACACCCTGTGAGGCGGGTGGGGCTGAGAGAGCTCTGACACAAACTGCTCTTTTAGGAACAGCTGCGCCAGAGCTTGTGACTGACCCAAGGTCACATCAGTAGGTGCAAGTGGAGGAGTGGTGAATCAAACCTGGTTCTCCCAGCTTAGAGTCCGCACACTTAACCACTACACCAAACTGGCTCTATGTTTGTTCTATGTTTGTATGTTGTGCAATCTCATTGGTAATAATTGTTACAAATTTATAAAGTTAATCTCAATAAAAATTACAAATGGAAAAAAAAACCCATGGTCCTCTTGTTCAAGGTACTGTGGCTCAATGGGGCAATTGTCCACAGCTTCTGTCACATCACCCCTTCCTGCATCCCTTGATTTTCTGAGCCTAAACAGAAGCGGGCTGCCTCTCCCCCACCCACACTGCAGTGGCCATAGGCTGGGTACCTACCATGAAGTGTTGTCCCAAAGGAAGCGTGCAAAAGAAGCATCATGTTAGAACAAGAGGCAGAGAGAGAAAACGCCAGGCTGGGGAAAGGAAGCAAGAGCCTGCCAGTCGTCAGGAGGGAAGCAGCCAAGGCAAGCAGGCCTCAAAGTCAACTTTTAGGGTAGACAGTTGTGAAGACAAATCTGGGGAACTGGATGGTGGGCGGTGTGGCCCAGCAGTTCTTAATCTTTGTTGTGCTAATGACTACTCATCCGGCTCAGTGCTTCTTCACAGGCCACAATATTTGCTTACTGGACAGCCAAAAAGTGGGATGATGCTGGAAAGACTTCCAGATTCGAATTGAGATCCTGCCCCGTAAGTCTGTCTGTACCCCTGTGAGGAGCAACTGCTTCCCCTCCTGAAAAGGCAAGCTGCTTTCCCATTTAACGCCTGAAAAACGGGCTCCCTCCTTAGCGATCAACGGGAAATGCAGAAGGAATCACTGCTCCGTTGAAATGTATTATATTGTTATGGCGAATGCTTTATTGTTGTTGTTTCCCCTTTATTGTTTTCTTGAGGTATGCAAATTAATCCCGGATTTGAAAAACATAAAAATTTGGATTTTTTAAAAACTTTTTTACCAATTACCACAAAAGAAATGTGAGCATCTGCCTGAAAATTCTCCTCCCACTCTTAGTGCCAGCTGCAAATCCTCTCCCCACCTAATCCGTGCCCTTGCATAAGGCACACTCTTCTTTGTAGCCCAACCCCTGATATTTTGGAGAGGATCACTGAATGGCTGATTGGCTACATCAACCCAAAATGGCTTCCAAGCTGACAAAATTTCTAGCCAGGATTTTGAACTTGTAAAGTTCACGTGCTTTTCATTTTGAGATGTTTCATTTATTGTACATTTAGATTAGCATGTATGATAACCCCAGCCTAAACAGAGCTTAGTTGAGAGCAGTGTTCCCTCTAAGCTGAGTTAGTGTGAGCTAGCTCACAGTTTTTTAGCCTCTAGCTCACACATTTTTGCCTTAGCTCAGGAAGGATGGCTCCAGAGCAAACTAATTTATGCAGCAGCAAATCGCTCGCTCACAACTTTAATGCCAGTAGCTCACAAAGTAGATTTTTTGCTCACAAGACTGCACAGCTTAGAGGGAACATTGGTTGAGAGTATAAAACTCTAAAAGATCTATATTGGTGATCAAAAGGGATGGGAAAGACTAGTTATGCTCCACCCCGACGTTCTCAAAATATGTAAAAGCCCCAAACTCAGCAAAAAGCAAAAACAAAACTCAGGACTGGAATCCAGTCTGGTCAGTGGGAACAGACTGTGCAATTCGCAACAGCAGGTTGTTGCGTTCATGAAAAATGAAAACTGGACAGTGGGAAAAACTGAGTCTGGACACTTATGCCGAGCTGAAAGAGACTCCGGCTGCCGGGCAGGGAACCAGACAGGAACCCTGTACCTACCTGCTGTAACAGGTTTGACTTTGGAGAGGTAGAATGATGAGAGGAGGAACAGAAAGGCTCCCGGGCCAGCCTGGAATTGGGGTGTGGCCCATCTGCCGCATCCCAGTTTCCCTGGAAACAAAAGCAGCGGGGAAAGGGGCTTCCGGGAGTGCTAGGCTGTATTAACTCGGTTACCTGACAGTCGGGTGCCTCACTTTGGAACAGCCCTGCGTAGGGGAGGAGGAGTTGCTTCTGCTGAGGTCCTCCACAGATCTGTCCAGGGCTTTCCCCTTGTCGGACCCCGGACTCCCATTGTCTGTGCTGTCCATATAATACCTGGAGCCACATACGCAAAAACAGGCACGCGTCATCGGGAGGGATATAGCAAAGGGCAGCAGGGAGGCTGGAAAACGATTGTGGTGTAAAGCAGGGCGAAAACTGGGGGGGGCACGTCCACAGTACCATCTAAAACGCTTTAAAATCTGCTGCACGTGCCCGTGATACTTCCTCCCGGACCAGGGCTCCCTCCAAGCTGAGTGAGTGTGAGCTAGCTCACAGTTTCTTAGCCTCCAGCTCACACATTGTTTTTCTTAGCTCAGGAAGGCTGGCTCCAGGGCAAACTAACTTACACAGGAGCCAAGTGGCTCGCTCACAACATTAATGCCAGTCGCGCTCACAAAGTTGAATTGTTGCTCACAAGATTCCGCAGCTTAGAGGGAGCGTTGTCCCTGACCACACCTGATCTCTTGGAACCCCCCCCCCCCCCCCAGAACTCAACAAACATGTTCTCAAGTAGGGCAGCCTTGTGGGTCTGAAGCAGCCGAACAAAGTTTGAGCCCAGGGGCCCCTTTAAGACCGACGTTTTATTCTGGGTATGAGCTTCCGTGTGGCCGCACCCAGAATAAAACTTTGTTGGTCTTAAAGGTGCCACTGGACTCTTAACTTGTTCTCAGACAGGCTTCGTAGCTATCTGAGCCAGCGGTCGCTCTCCGAGGTGCTGACCCGGCTTTCCCACAAGTAGCTGCAACGCACTCACTCCCCCCCCCCCCCCCTGTCTTGCTCCCCTTCCCCTATCACCGTGGCCGCATTTTGACCCGCAGCATCCCGATTCCCCCCCTCCCCGTGTCTTCTCGATCCTTGCTTTTTGAGACTGAGAAGACGCTGGGGAAATCAGGGGATGCTGCAAGTCAAAATGTGGTTGAGTAGCAAGTAGTGGGAAATTGACGAATACAATGGGGGGGAGGGGGGACAGCGAGGGCAGCACAGCTGCTTTTGGGAAATCGGTCAGGATTTCCATCCAAACAGCATTCTGGTCCTTTAGGAGTCCTTACAAAGCAAGTTCCTGCCTCTCAGGGATATGGAGAAAAGCAAGAACGTGTGCAGACAAGCCTGTGCTTGGAGGTTCCTTGCTGGTTTCTCCCCAACCCCGGCCACAAGTAGCAGATGCAGAAATGGCGGTTTAGTACGGAATATTTATGGCATTCTTTTTAGTGCGAAGCTCAGCGCTGGGAATGGCATCTCTCCACTGCATGACTCTCGATCTGCCCCGAAAATGTTAATGGGCTAGACAGAGAACTGGTCCCTCACTCCTCTGTGGTGCAACCCTATGTCTTGCCATCTTCCTTTGTCTCTTAGAGTGTCCTCATAGAAACACAGAACTGACTTCAAGGGCCATCTAGCCTGACCCCTGCACAACACAGGAAATTCACAACTACCCATTCCCCCAGTGACACGTACTCCATGCCTAGAAGAAGGCAAAAAATCCTCCAGGATCCCTGGCCAATCTAGCCTGGAGGAAAATACCTTCCTGATGCTAAAGTGGTGATCAGCCTTACCTGGGTGAAGAAGAAGGAGAAGAAGGAGAAGAAGGAGAAGAAAGAAGGAGGAGGAGGAGAAGAAGAAGAAGAAGAAGGAGAAGGAGAAGAAGGAGAAGAAAGAAGGAGGAGGAGGAGAAGAAGAAGAAGAAGAAAAGATTGGATTTATACCCCACCCTTCACTCAGAACGGCTTACAAATTCCTTTCCCTTCCCCTCCCCACAACAGACACCCTGTGAGGTAGGTGGGGCTGAGAGAGCTCTGACAGACACTGCTCTTTCAAGGACAGCTCTTATCACAGCTATGGCTTGCCGAAGGTCATCCAGCAGCTGCAACTGGAGGAGTGGGGGAATCAAACCCAGTTCTCCCAGATTATAGTCCGCGCACTTAACCACTACACCAAACTGGCTCTCCAAAAAAAGGGCCAGGAGAGCTGAACACAGACTCATCCCTTCCTGCCCCCTCTCTCTTGTGATCACAGAATCAGCCTCTACTTAAACCCCCCCCCCCCAAGGAAGGAATTATTTACTACCCGGAATAGCTTCTTAAGAGAATTACCAGCATACAGTTCAGAGTCAAGGCTTTAAAGGGGGCATGCAAGTCTTGTGGATAAACAGAAACATGGCTGCAGCCAGAAGGGGTGGGTGCTCACTCACTTGGCAGGAAAGCTCCCAGAGGCCGCTGTCCTGGAAAGCCACCGGGAGCCGGCAGCAAGCAGTGTCCAGTGCTGGAAGCACCACAGTGGCATTGATGACGAGGTTTGTTTGCCTTATCAGCGAGGCGGCACATGCGGTTATTGTCGCCACTGGGTCCGAGCATCGCCAGCCCCACAGAGGCCACTTGGCTCTGCCTGTTCTGGGGCTGTTATAAAGCCCCAAACTGCCCCGCCCAGCCAGGAGTGGACGGCTCCTGGCAGCTAGGACTGCACGGCGTCTAATGAAAAGCAACCGCGTGGCCACACTGATGCCGTTTAACAGCACACACAGCTGAGTAAACCAGCCTAGAGGTGAAACGAAGTCTGGATTTCTCCTTTTTGGGTTTCTGCCCCAGACGCTGCTGCTGCTCAAAGAAAAAATCCATATGCCTTGAAAGCTCGCTTTCGAGCCAACCTGGCTCTCGAAAGCAGCCGTCTCTACACTGCTCACTGCTAATTGTTAAATCTGAGGATTATTCCAGTGTCTGACAATTATTGTGCTCTGGGAAGAACTCCAGAGCGGCTTGGACCCAAATCAGGTGCCACAGGGTTTGCTGCTCAGCAACAGGAAAAGAGAGAACAAGCAGAGGGTGAAATGTGTGTTCTCAGGCACATGCAAGTGATCTCTGCTGCACGGGGGCCCATAACCACAGACAGACACGGAAACTGCGCCTGGCACGGCTGTGATCCCTCCTGGGCCCTCCCCCACGCAACGGACCCTTTGAGCCCAAACTGCGGCAGCTACTTACGTGACGGAGCACTGGGCAAAAGCCAGGTAGTCCACCAGGACGTCCAGTCCCTTGTTCTCTTCATTTAGGAACTCCTGGACCCAGCTTGGGGGTGGGAGGAAAGGAGAGAGAACAGGTCAGCTTTCCCTCCAGAATTAAAAAGAGGAAGAGTAACACCCTTCGGTGCAGGGCTCTGGGCAATGTACATCTTTCATTAAAAAAAATCATGGTGAAATCATTAAAACCAGGGGTCATTCTGTAGAAAAAGAGGTGCAGGGGCTCATTAGCATAACTCATTAGCATAACTTATTTGCATATGCCATGGGCCCTGACATCACTGGAAGTGTGTCAGAAGGCAACACCCACCGCTCAGGCTCCACTGGACTGTTTTGGATTGCTAGCTATTGGGGGGGGGACGTGCAGATCAGTCCTCACAGAGGAGGGAGAGCTTGTACCTGAAGGCGGGCCAGGGGGGGGGCTCTGCAACTTACTTGGCTGCTTCTTGCTCTGACTGAGGGCTGCTGGGAGCAGGGGGTGGGGCTTGTTGCATGTGCCCGCCCCCTGGGCTCCTTACTGCCAGAGCTCCGCTCCTGTGTGCTCCCGCAGGAAATGACATTAATAACATATTTCAAGCAAGTAGATGGCGAATACAAACTGGTTAAACAAGTAGAAAGCCAACAGTCGTGATAGTCTGACCCACAATCAAACAGTCATAAGACCTATAAAGAATGCTGTTTATGTATTTCAATCTAAAGCACTACAACATAATACACAACTCAAAAGAAAATCTTTGAACCAAGGTACATAATCAACGTCGTCTCCGGATTACTTAACAACGTTTCAAAAAAATGGATCTTCTTCAGGATATTATAATGGTGCCAAAGCTCTCAGTTTCATAAATGTTAGACAACAAGTCTTAAGAGTATAAAATTCAGATAGGACGCCCGGGATCCAGGAGAAACATAGCAGCATATTTTGAGCCTGAATGTTAATTGAGATCAGCGTCCCATCTGAATTTCATATTCTTAAGACTTGTTGTTGGTCAGACTATCACGACTGTTGGCTTTATACTTGTTTAGTCGTGATAGTCTGACCCACAATCAAACAGTCATAAGACCTATAAAGAATGCTGTTTATGTATTTCAATCTAAAGCACTACAACATAATACACAACTCAAAAGAAAATCTTTGAACCAAGGTACATAATCAACGTCGTCTCCGGATTACTTAACAACGTTTCAAAAAAATGGATCTTCTTCAGGATATTATAATGGTGCCAAAGCTCTCAGTTTCATAAATGTTAGACAACAAGTCTTAAGAGTATAAAATTCAGATAGGACGCCCGGGATCCAGGAGAAACATAGCAGCATATTTTGAGCCTGAATGTTAATTGAGATCAGCGTCCCATCTGAATTTCATATTCTTAAGACTTGTTGTTGGTCAGACTATCACGACTGTTGGCTTTATACTTGTTTAACTGATTGGGTCGTGTGTGTCCACATTTTTTTTTTGATACGAACTGGTCCCGTTTCAGACCGCTGGCCACTTCGCCGGCAGGGGAGAGGACGGCAAAGCAGATATGAGAAGCAATAGGAGCGGGGAAAGGGTGCCGGCTATGATGGAAGATCGTCGCTGCTCTCAACCAAAGGCCTGGCGGAACATCTCTGCCTTGCAGGCCCTGTGGAATGGCACAAGGTCCCGCAGGGCCCTGGTGGTATTTGGCAGAGATTCACCCGGTTGGGGCCAGGCCTGAAGAGGCCCTGGCCCGGGCCGAGGACAGCCAGATAGCTTTAGGACCGGGGACCTCCAGTAAGTTATTATCTGAAGAGCGTAACACTCTCCCGGGGACACAACAGAGGAAACGGTCCCATAGATACGTTGGGGTCCCTGACCGCTCAAGGCCTTGTAGGTTGATACCAGAACCTTGAACCTGACTCGGTATTCCACTGGGAGCCAGTGTAGCTGGCGCAGTACTGGATGCAGGGGTCATTTCCTGCAGGAGCGCACAGGAGCGGAGCTCGGGCAGTAACGAGCCCAGGGGGCGGGCACATGCAACAAGCCCCACCCCCTTGCTCCCAGCAGCCCTCAGTCAGAGCAAGAAGCAGCCAGGTAAGCTGCAGAGCCCCCCTCGCCCCCCCGGTCCAAGACAGTCCAGTGGCACCTTTAAGACCAAGGTTTATTCAGGTACAAGCTCTCCCTCCTCTGCGAGGACAGATCTGCACGTTCCCCCCCCCCAATAGCTAGCAATCCACAACAGTCCAGTGGAGCCTGAGCGGTGGGTGTTGCCTTCTGACACACTTCCGGTGATGTAAGGGGGTGTGGCATATGCAAACAAGTTATGCCAATGAGTTATGCTAATGAGCTCCTGCACCTCTTTTTCCACGAAATGACCCCTGACTGGATGTGCCATCCGTGATGTTCACACTTTGAGGATCTGTCTAGCACGAAGAAGCTCTGGGTGGCTTACGGGGCTCTCCCTTCCCCATTTTATTTTCACAATAACCCTGTGAGGTAGGTTATGCTGACGGTATGTTCGGCCCAAGGTCACTTGGCAACCTTTATGGAAAAGTGGAGATTTAAACCTGGGTCTCCCAGAATCTGTTCTAACCCTGAAACGTTCGCTGTCGGGTTCTCTCTGTCTCCAGAAGTTCTTGCCTGCATTTTCTCCTGCCTCTTTTTGGGGCATTTTTCTGGACAGACACAGACATCTCTCTGCCTCCTTTACTGTTATGGCCACATCATGAATCATTTCATCACAATTATATCACTGTTTCATAACAGACAGATTGCTTTACTATTCCCCACAACCACCCTGCACGGTAAGCTACCAACTGCCCCATTTTACAAAGGAGAACCCGAAACCGAGACCCTGTTCTTGGAGAATCACAGGTGTGAAACTTCCCCTGACATCAAACGCTCCCTATACATGGAAAACAACATGTCACTGAAAATGGTCAGCTAATATTTCTCTCCCTGACAAGTTAGCTTTCTGCATGCAGGGAGCATCTGACGTAAAGAAGCATTCAAAAATTGATTCCCTGCCCTACACTGTGTGGTTAGAAGAGTACTGTGCTGTGAAGGTCGTAAAAGATTACATCTCCTGCAGCAACTGAAGAACCACCTCAAAAAAAAAAAATCTAAATGAGGAGAGGGTTCTTTTTTGGAAAAACACAAAATAACTTAGACAAGTGTCTAAATGATCATGAAGCCCGCCGGGACGAACAGAATGCCAAGCCGAATGAAGTACCGAGTGCCAAAGCCGAGGAACGAACATCCCAACCACCACCACAAGGGTGCTGATAGGTAACCCTACCCTATACAACTCTGTGGCCCTAGTTAGGGAAAAACTTGTGTGACTAGCACCAATTGTAAGCCGCTCTGAGACCCTCTGTGAAAAAGAGGATTCGAGCGGGATATAAAGTTGAAGGTTAAATAAAATAAATGCGTGCAAGGAAAGAGAGATTATTTTTTGGATCGATTTGCAAACCTCCCCCTGCCCATCCAGCCACATAGCGTCTGGGTCTGCACTAAGGAACAAGGCCTATAGCCAGCCACGGTTCCTCTGAAGACGGATTTTTTTAACTCGGAGCTCACTCTCACATAGGTAAAGGTAAAGGTTCCCCTTGCTCGAAAGCCAGTCAAATCCGACTCTAGGGATCCGTTTCCAAGCTGAGGAGCCAGCGCTGTCCGAAGACGTTTCTGTGGTCACGTGGCCAGCATGACTAGAGGGCGAGGCGCACGGAATGCTGTTACCTTCCCACCAAAGCGGTACCTGTTTATCTACTTGCAATTTCTTGCTTTCAAACTGCTAGGTTGGCAGGAGCCGGGGCCAGAGACGGGAGCTCACTCCGTCACGCGGCACTCGGGTCTCGAACTGCCAAACTTCTGATCTGCAGTTCAGCGTCTTAACCACTTGAGCCACTGCAGCCCTTTCACTCTCACATACTATGCATCAAATGACATCGTCATGCTCTCTGTCCCGCCAGCCCCGTAGCTAGGGACTTTTTTGGGAGGGGGCCATGGGGGGGCGGCGGCTAATTTAATCAAAAGTAACCCTCTGGCGGCGGTGGCAGGCCACACGCTCTATCCGCCACTTCGCCAGGTGGGAGGACAAGGCGGGTGGGGGTGGGGAGTGGTCGAGGGAGGTGGCGACAGCGGCGGTGGCAGCAGTGGTCGCCGCGGGGGCGGCTCAGAGTGCAGGTAAAGGGCTGCCCCACGGTGCCTCTGGCACGCGCTCTCCGCGGCTCCCTTAGAAAAACTCCCACAGGGCTTGTTAGGGGGTCTTGGGCGGCTGGGGGGAGGCAGGCGGTTTTTAAAGCAGGCGCACGTGGGCTGGAGTACAGAGACCGGTCCTGTGGTTAAGAGAGGGTGGATGGTGAGGAAGAGAAGCCGGCAGGAGCTGGCGGCCATTTGGCTGGTTTTAAAGGGGAGGGGAGTGTCAGAAGGTAGCTCTGGGGACAAAGGATTCCACTTCTCTGGAGTGCCCAAGGAGCTCAGTTGTCGGGCAGTCAGGTTGGGTGGCAGCGTGGCGCGCAGGTGGCAAGTTGAGGCACTTCGGGGGCAGCCTGGGAGGGAGGTGGCCCAGAAGAAACGCAAGGGGGGCGGTCCCCCCGAGCCCTGCGTTAGCTACGGGCCTGTGTCCCACCCCTCCCTGGCACTGTGGGTATCAAGTCAGATTCGTGGACGATTTCTGATGTCCCCCGACTAGGTACGGTCTTGGTTCTGCATGGAGCGATTCATAAACTGCCTTGCACAAACGCTGACGAGACGTGTGCCTGCCGGCTTCCCCTGTTGGCTCTTCCATTTATTTTTGGACTGCCTGGCAGGCAATCAATCTGGAGAGATAAATGCTTCCCCTCCGAAGCTGTTAATTAGCCTGCATAAATCACTGCCATCAATGGTGTTAGGCTGCCAACATGCCGGGGGTCACCTTCTCCGCAGAGGACGGAGACCTTTGCCACAAACCTCAAGCTGCACACCTGGGCCAAGAACCAGATGCTGGAGCGGGGCCTGGGGAAAGCTCTGCTGCTAATGGACGAGGCAGAGCGGCTTTGACAATTACGTCCGCGTCGATATCTTCTGACAAAATATTCTTAATGTGCCTTCAACTCCCGGCTGCTTGAGAGGGTTGCAAGCGCTCTCTCTCTCTCTCTCTCTCTCCCCCCCCCTCCTTATTTCTGCTCCCTTTTTGTCTTGTATCTCCCCCCAGTTTCGTTTCTCGCTGTTCATTAGAAAAGTTATTAGAGCAGGAATACAGAAAAAATTATTGCTAGGGTGGGCTGGAAGGGGGAGGCCAGGTTATGGATCTGCAGCTGGTAGACCGGGGCCTTGATCCAGGGCCCCACAGGCTTCCCACCTAGCCCCACTCAGCCCTATCGATCCTGCTTCTAGTAGGCACTTCAATTGCCTTCTTAACAAAAAACCTAAGACGCAGGCGAAGAATGCCTTATCCCCTTCAATCCCGGTGTAAACCATCACAGATACCTTTAGCAAAGGCCTCCTGTTACTATACATCTCAGCAGGTGTGGGCAAAGGACTCCTTAACCCTTCACGCCTGCCAAAAAGCACAAATAGCAAAACAGGCTCAGGAACGTTTTGTGGTTCTCTCATGTGCCCAGACACAAAGGACTGAGTGTCCACAATGCATAGTCATTGGCTAGAGGTTCCAGACCCCTTTGCCTGTATCTTAGCACAGATGGGAGTGTGGTCTGAAGGCAGAGCCAGTGCTGATAGGCCTTCGGTCTTGGCTTGATTCTAAACTGTAAGAAGATATGACACTGCCTTGTCCAAACTCCTATTCCGGGGCTCATTCAGCCTAGTGGAAATTGCTGCAACCATCAGTGGCTCCCTGAGGCCTCAGGCAGAGATCTCAGAGGATGACCCATCTGCATGCAAAGGATGTGGTCTTAGATGCTCCTCAGAACAGGGCCGGTTCCATGTTTGGGGGGTCCTGGGCAGACCCATACGACATGCATCCTTCTCCTGCTTGCAAGCCCTCCCGCCACCCATGCTCAGTTGCCTGCGCCACCTGCACGCCCTTTCCCCGAAAGCACTGGTCAGGTCTTGGGGCTGAGAATTCCGCATGACACCACTGTGCACCACCCACATGGCCTTCCTCCATGACACTGGGCAGTTAGGAGCACTGGCACAGTCAGGTGGCAGGAGAGGTGCATGGGTGGGGGTCAGCAGCCATGGGCCCCACCAGAAGTCAGGCCCATAGTTAAAGTGGGGCGTTTTGGGGCTCTGCCCCCTCAAATGTGAGGCTCTGCCCCCTCACCCCTCTCTCCCCTCCTGTGACATTAGAAGTGCCCTCCAGCTGACCGACAGGAGCACGTAGCCTGATGCTCAGCTGGCAGCTCTCCAATATTTAAAGGGACCTCCAGCTGATCAGCGGGCCCTTTAAATCTTGCAGGAGGCGAGGGAGAGGGGTGGCTGCCGGTTGCATGCCTTCCCTGAACTCCAAGTGCCAATTCTGCGTGGGCGGCCGCCGCTTGAAAACCACCATTTAAACAGAACCCTTTAAATGCTGTTTTTCAAGTGGGGGCTGTCGGCACCTGAACTCCAGGCGGCAAAATCGCCACTTGGAGTTCAAGGAAGGCAGGCGGCCACCCCTTTGCCTCGCCTCCTGCAATGGAGAGAGGTGGCTACACGCCTTCCCCGAACTCTAAGCAGCGATCAGGGCGGGGCTTTTTTGAAGCTACAGAGCTCTCCAGCACTCACCAAGGGTCTGGATGCTTTGGGGGAGCTGGATTAAGGTTTCCAGCTCTCAGTAAGTGTTGTAGGGTTTTCTTTCCCTTTTTAATTCAGATTCCACAACTAGAAACAAGACGGGCATGACCTTCTAAATGGCTACTCGCCTCAAGCCCTAAAGAAAGGGTGGGCTAAAAACAGATCTAGATGAATAGCGGGCATAATTATACACTCGAATGGCACATTCTTCTACATTGTGTCAGCTAAGCTGCCAATAGTGTGGTGTGTGTTTCCCTTTCATGTGCATTCCTTCCCTTGCGCTTAATTGCCTCTTCGCTGCAACGCATATCTCTCAAGGCCACTGGAGGAGTTGCTGTGTCTCTGCACAGAAAGAGTCGTGGGAAGCTTCTTACCTTTTTTACTTTTGCAGCCATTAGGTCTCAGCCTACTGCCCGCGCGCGGTAACCCCTGTAATTGGGTACTACGTGGGGGGGGGGGGGATACGAATGCCCTATAACCTATTATGCGCCTAGATCACCCGCCATTCCTAACAGTGTTCATGTTAATGCATCTATAGCTTTTCAATAAAAGTAAAACCTTCCTGGAAGCGTGGACTTCGTTGTTTTGCTGTGGGTCCTGACACATTGTAAACTCTATTCAGAGAGAGACACCAGCTAATTTTTCCTTTACTTGCCCAATTTAAACCCTTGGACAACTATTTGAAATTTGCAGATACTGTGCTGCTGAAATATTTGTTGGAAGATACCAAGACGTCGGTAACTCTGGCAGTAGCAAAATATTGCTTTTTAGTAATAAACAAGTGAAAGTTTTTAACAAACAGCACAGACTGAAGATAATTTTAGACAAGACTTAGAATTTAGGGAATAGAATTACGATCTTAATAGGGGTCTGTGGCTGGGTCTATGATGGTACTATTGTCTGTGAGTGTTGGTGATCGTACTTGTTTATTTCTGGCTGCAGTCACACGGAGCATTAGGCACGCTAGAGGGACGGAAGATAGGCGGATTTTCTGGGCGCGATCTCACCGCCACATCTGGGAAGCGTCGAGCTCCTGTAGCAAACCCGAGGCTTCCCGCGGAAGATGCGCGGTAAAAAACTAGTACCTCGGAGGTACTAGTTTCCTGAAACCCCCCGTTTGCCCCGCGCCCCGCTTCTTTGCTGCGCCGCAGAACTGTGGAGTGATCGGCACCTCCCCCCTACCACGGGACCTCCACGGGACCTCCATCTGTAGGTCTGCTCGAGCAACTGCACGGTTTTTAGCCCCGGGGCTAACAGCCACGTTTCCCCCCCACATTTTCCTGCCCGTGTGACCGGGACCTCTGTATTGTTTTACTGCACTGCTGGTCAATTGGCCGTAACAATAAATTTGATTGATTGATTGAGACACTCGAATGGCAGTATCCGGAGGGCTGCATATGCGCTCCCAAACATGCACAGGGGTTTTTAGATTTGCAGCAGCTGCTTCCACCTCCTCAAAAAGTCGCTCCATGGGGGCGGGGGTGGGTGTTCCCTGTAACACCAGCGGATCCAGCTGCCACTGGTAGAAACGAGGCGGGACGTTCCGTTTTGGGCACGTAATGTGTCTTTGAATAGCAGCCCCCATTGGCCACCTCTTCAAAATTAACAAAGTATGCCTTGGGTATAAGAGGAATGCTTGCGAAATTCTCAATTTGCTTTGAGGACCACCTTAAGAACCTAAGGGAAGCCAATGTTGGATCAGGCCAATGGGGAGCAGTGGCACAGGGGATTTATCCTCTGGTTAAAACATCTGAGCTGAACAGAACGGCTGTCAGTTCTAGCCCCGTGCTGGTGTGAGCTACCAGACTTGTCCCCAGCTCGCCGTCCACCCGGCAGTTCGAAAGCTTCAGTGAGTAGATAAAATGGGTACCACTCCTCAGAGAGGGTGGGCACACTAACCCCCCCGGTGGGGGAGGTGTTAGCCGGCGAACGGAATGTCCAGCGCGTAAGATCGAAAGCCTAGAAAGAACTCTTCGGCATCAAGAAAGCCTGTAATGGACCGTCCGGCCAGGCGGTGGCAGTGCTGCGCTGCAACTTGAAGCAGTCCTGGAGAAAAAGCTGACGACATCAAGCCACGCCGAGGGAAAAATGCCGTTGGAACATGTCTGACCTTACTGCTGAACAAACTCCCCGTCGGCTGCGAACAGGTGTGATTTAAAGATTTTAATGTTTTCCTCCCTTACCCCTTTGAATCATTAAGAACATAACAACATAAGAGATGTCAATGTTGGATCAGTCCAAAGGCCCATCCAGTCCAACACTCTGTATCACACAGTGCCCAGAAATACCAGTGCCATCAGGAGGTCTACCAGTGGGGCCAGGACATTAGAAGCCCTCCCACTGTTGATCCCCCCAAGCACCAAGGTGACAGAGCATCACTTGCCACAGAGTCCCTATCTATACCTTGTGGCTAATAGCCACTGATGGACCTCTGCTCCATATGCCTATCTAATTCCCTTTTGAAGCCGTCCATGCTTGTAGCCACCACCACTTCCTGTGGCAGTGAATTCCAAGTGTTAATCACTCTTTGGTTATTATTATTATGGCCCATCCAGTCCAACACTCTCTGTCACACAGTGACCAGAACTCGGGTGCCGTCAGGAGGTCCACCAGCGGGGCCTGAAGCACTGCTTTCCACCACCAAGCCAGGAGGTGGAGAAGAGATGCCCTCGGTGAGACCTTCCAAGCACGGAGAGCGAGGGCTAGCAGGAGCAAAACGGTGTGCTGCTCTCAGGATAGCCAGCAGGAGGCCTCTTAACCAGCAGATTAAACAAGCGTCTCATTGGCCTTTGGTAATACTGACCCGATATGGTTTGTCCTCAAAGATATCTCCAGCTCCCGAAGAACCTGGGTGGACTCTTGAACCCGCCTCTTAAACTGCGAGAAGAAACCAAAAAAAGAAAAAGAAAAAAAACACCACCTCAGAGGCTGAAGGGCAATACAGAACTGACAGTTCCTAACCAACATTCTTCATTGGGAATGAATTGGCCGCACTTCCTTGCACTAAACGCTGAAACGGTGGAGGGCAGGGGGCAGGGGAGCTGACCAACCAGGCCCAGAGAAACAGTCTGCTTACTGTACGGATGCCCAAGCATTCGAGCTCATGTGCATTGTCCTCAACCGAGGGTGCTGGGAAAAAATAATCTTTCGTTTTTTAAAAAAACTTGGGTGCTACTTCGTTTCTACCCAAGTTGCAAAACCAGAATGAGTCAGCACCCTCTCTGGCACAAAACGCAGACTCCTGGTACCAGTTCAACAAATTACGCGGGCACACGTGCCCAAGTGCCAGTTTGTACAACAAAGTGCTTTGCATCCAGCCAGACTGCATCGCCCTGAGTGGAAATGGCACACCCTGGATCATTGACCACAGGCCAGAAACCACAGTTCTGCAGGCTGCTGGCTCAGGCCCCGTTCTTCAAGGTCTGCAGGGATATACCAAAATGCAGCTTGTACTACACGCTGCAAAATTTTGCATGCCGCTGCAAATCAATGACCGTGTGCCAAATTGCAGTTTCTCCTCGGAGTACGCTGTCCGGCAAGAGCAGAGGGGGAAATCAAACCCTACACCAAGAGCAGTTGTGTGTTGCTTGGACTCAGTGACATTTGTATTATTTTCTCCTGTTGGCAAAACAGAAATCAGGATTTGGGAGGGGAAATAGGGTGGGGAAACAGCAGGGGAAAGATGCATTTTGCATCGAATCTCACGTCAGCTGTGAATCAAAGGCTTTGCTGAGCCATGTAGGTTGAATCTAAACCTGATTTTCTACCAGAGTGTGTGGGGGGGTGTAATTTCTGCTGTTTCCTCCCACTGCAGCCCCCCCCCCCAATACTGTACTCAGATCCATCCCTGGGTCTCCTGATCACTTTGGGGGGGGTAGCAGCGGGAGGAAATAAAGTTCTGTTCCGCAAAGAAGCATCGTTCATGCCCCTCCGGACCCAACATATCCTACGTAAGATGTCCATAAGCAGAAATTTTCAGTGGGGGAGGGGGTGGAGAGAACAAGGAGAAACAGGAGGCAGGGAAAAGATAACTACGGAGCCATGATAGTCCAATCAGAAGTCACCTTTCCACTGAATCCGCCCGTGTCTAGATAGCTCTTCAGTTTCTGGATGTAGGCAGAAGGTGGGTTCTTCACTTGGAACCTTTCCTGTAGGTAGACACAAGACAAAGGGCAAAAGGGAAGAATAGCACAGTTTTTATCAGACTAAGGAGCAATATTTACGAGCAAATATTTTGAGTGCTCACACACACACACACACACACACACACAGCGTGGACAGTCTCACTCTCACTCGTGGGTTTTCAACCTCACGCCTGTCCTGACTGATGAGATCTGCACAAACCGATGGTGAAAATTAACAACACAAGAGCATGAAAAGCACTGGTGTCCCTGGCTTTAAACGAGTCATGGTGCATTCATTACCAGGGGGGGGGAGAGCAACAGCCCTGCTGGATCAGCCCATCTAGTCCAGTATCCTACTTCACAAAGAGGTGAACTAGTTGCCCTGGAAGGCCAACAACGGGGTGCAAAGACGCTGAGACCATCCCCTGATGTTGTCTCCTAGCATTGGCATTCAGAAGTTTGATGTAGTGGTTAAGTGCACAGATTCTAATCTGGGAGAACCGGGTTTGATTCCCCACTCCTCCACTTGCACCTGGCTGGATGACCTTGGGCAAGCCATAGTTCTGATAAGAGCTGTCCTCAAAAAAGAGCAGTTTCTGTCAAGAGCTCTCTCAGCCCCACCTACCTCACAGGGGGTCTGTTGTGGGGAGGGGAAGGGAAAGGAGTTTGTAAGACGCTCTGAGACACCTTTGGGTAGTAAATCCAATCTTCTTCTTCTCCTCCTCCTCCTCCTCCTCCTGGTTAGTAGCCAGTGGTAAAGCCTATCCTTCATGAATCTGTCTAATCCTCTCCTTAAGCCTTTGGATGTTATTAGATTGGAATAATTTCTGTCCTGTATGAAACCTGCCTTCCTTCGTAAAGACTGAGGGGAAAGTGGAGACTTCTCCACGTCAGGTATATATAGTTGGATGGCCCATTTGCAATTTTGTTCTCAGCTTCAGCACGGTGCAGAAACTGCCTCAGTTGCCTTGAGTGCCAATCTATGCCCATCTGCTGATAAGGGGAAGTGAGACCCAGTTAGTTCTCCTAGACTTGCCAATGGCATATGATGATACGATGAACCATGGTATCCATCTGAGCAGTGAGGCACTTTTGTACTGGCGCTGAAGGGCAGGTATTTGGAGCTGCTGGCATTTGAACCAGGAAGCCTCGGATCTAGAGCTCGACCACTACCCCATGAGGGGAGATGCTGGCCCTGCAGATATGAACCCGTTCCATGGGTTTATGAGCCTTAGAGAGGGCTTCACTCTGGCATTAAACTAGTCCCAAGATGGCGATCCACAATGGTACTGCTCCCACCCAAAGGATATTATTGTGCAAAAATATTGAAACTAGAACTGCAGTTCTAATTCCACTGAATCCCATTGAAGTATTCATAGGCTGAGAGAGCCACACACAAAGAATTAGAAGAAACAATGAAGAAACAACTAAGGAAATATGGCTGCTGGCAATTTAACAACTGAGGCCACAATGTGTACATAGGAACTCTCAGTCTGGGGCAAGGGATGCTCTGTATTCTTGGTGCTTGGGGGGGCAACAGTGGGAGGGCTTCTAGTGCCCTGGCCCCACTGCTGGACCTCCTGATGGCACCTGGTATTTTTGGCCACTATGTGACAGAGTGTTGGACTAGATGGGCCATTGGCCTGACCCAACACTGGCTTCTCTTATGTTCTTATGGATAAATATATGGAGCAGAGGTCCCTCAGTGGCTATTAGCCACAAGGTATAGATAGAAACTCTCAGTCTGGGGCAGGTGATGCACTGTATTCTTGGTGCTTGGGGGGGGCAACAGGGGGAGGGCTCCTAGTGTCCTGGCCCCACTGCTGGACCTCCTGATGTCCGCTGGTATTTCTGGCCACTGTGTGACACAGAGTGTCGGACTGGATGGGCCATTGGCCTGATCCAACACTGGCTTCTCTTATGTTCTTAAGGCCTCCAAGAGAACGCTGTCAACAACTACTTGGAATGATCAGCCGGAGTACCTACCTACTCTGAGTTATTTAAACGTATCTAAACTCTGAGTTATTTAAATGCACCTAAACGGAGGAACCAATGAAATAAAGCCTATCGACCTCAGACGAACCCCTCCCCACGTCGATACACCCAGGCGCTGAAATCCCCGTCACTCCTGGCACTACGTCTGAACTCACGGACCCTTGGATCTGGACAGTAAGAAAAGAAGATCCTCTGACACTCACCAGAAGAGTGTGGCAAGGGGAAAGGTGGAAGGTTTTGCCGGGTGCTGTGCAGGAACTGTCTGGGGCCCCCCCGCTTTGGTGCGATTCTGTTGGGGGAACAGCTCAGCTGCTGTTACTGTGTGGCCAACCGTTTGGTTTCGTTTCCGGCTTCGAGTGCTTTTGGTGGATCTCGGCCCTTTTCAGTGTTTACTGGCTGATGCTGGGCAGCCCCAGGGGCGCTTGGTCCTGGTCATTTTCCATCGGTTGGGCTGTCGTCACTCTGGCCAGCCTTGTGGCCTGGACATCGGTGAGTGCTGCCGGCCACGGTCGTGTCCCCTCACCTAGCCGTCCTGGTGCTCCCCGTTATGATCGCCTGCCGCGGATGGCTGGTTTTGTTCCAGATGACTGGCAGCGGCTGGCAGCCGGTGCCGAGTAGACTGACTCTGCTGGAACCCTGGCACTGCCTGGGGACTGTCTGGAGGCCTAGGAAACCCCGTGAGGGATGCCGCATTTGGGCAGCGACGGCAAGGCTGGCTCTCAAACGGATTCTGATGCCAGCGTCAATGGTCTGGTTCTGATGCTGGCTTCAACCCAACCTCCATTATTAATTTTGATTAGGGTGACTCGTTCCCGACAATTAGTTAATTAGATACTGGGATTAGTGAACTGTTGAAATGAATTTTGGTACTAGTTAGATAGGAAGGGGGGAAGGATTAGCTTAAGGGGTTTTAATGTTAATGAGATGCGTATTTTACTATTTCTACTGTTTAGTAGGGTGGGTGGAATTTAGGGTGCAATGGGGCTAGAAGCTGCTGGCACTTGTGACATCAGTTATAATAACAACTGATTGGCACAGTAATGAGATAATACGGAGAACAAGAAAAACTGTGAAAAAATGACACAATATATGTCTTTAAAGAATCATGGAAAAGTGAACAAAAATAATATACATAATCATAGAAAAATATATTGACGGTGATCTCCGGAATGTCTTGCCGTTTCGAAGGAAGGTCTTCTTCTGAACAAAGATGTGGGACAAAAACTGTCTCTCAATAGTTCATATCCTCTGGTGATGTCTCACAATTATCAAAGATGATTTTATGTATAGAAAACTCACCAATAATCATACCAGCTGTAATGTATAGTAGAACCTGCCATGGGATAAGATGATTGTAATGTAGTTTTTGTCCCACATCTTTGTTCAGAAGAAGATCTTCCTTCGAAACGGCAAGACATTCCGGAGATCACCGTCAATATATTTTTCTGTGATTATGTATATTATTTTTGTTCACTTTTCAATGATTCTTTAAAGACATATATTAAGCGTCACTTTTTCACAGTTTTTCTTGTTCTCCGTACTTGTGACATCAGTGCCAGGTAATGGACCCCAGTAATTGGGGGACGAGAGAGGTATGATGATGGGAGAAGGTACTAAAAGGGAAGGAGACAGAGATACACCTACGCTCAGTCTCCTTCCAGCCTTCGTCCCATCCTGAGATACGTTGGTGTGAGGGCTTGGAAACCCTTCTCTGATGCTGACGCTGTGTAATGCCAGGTCCATCAATAGTAAAGACCATAACGCTGCAAAATTACTTTGCAGCACAAGAAGTGGACCTGGTGTGTGTGACTGAGACCTGGGTAAGGGAGGGTGAAACAGTCACCTTGAAAGGACTAGCCCCTCCCCGGTTCTCAGTCCTACATCAGTCATGGGCTAAGGGTCAGGGGGAGGGGTGGATTACGCATCTAAGAGTTGTTCTCCTTCAGGGCACTCCCCGTCCCGACGTTCTGCAGTATAGACTGTGTTGGCCTGGCCTGGGATACCCAGGAGAGTTTGGCTGTCTGATTGGTGTACTGTCCGCCTAGCACACCAGCGGACAGCCTACGGAGACTGCTGGAGGTGGTAGCAGGCTGGGCCTTGGAGTTCCCATGACTGATAGTACTGGGAAACTTCAACGTCTGTGTCAATGCTGCTGCCTCCTCGCAGCTGTTGGACCCAGCGTCTTCCATGGCAGCATTGGGACTCTCCCAGGCCGAGTTCAGACTGGCAGTTTGGCCCAGCAGCCAAAAGTTTCAGGAGCGTTTCAATAGTGGATTAAAGGGGCGGGCTCACACAGGCACATCTGCCAGGCGTCCCCCAGCCGTACTCAAGCCGTCTTGTGCCGATTCCCTCCCGAGTTTAAAAAGTACCAGGTGAAAGTGGTAGCAAACCGTGTGTAGAGCGGGTTGATTCCGGTTCCCTGAGTGTGAACACAAGCACCGCTAAGACGGGAGCAACCCACAGTCATTGATAATAGGTGCTGGCTATTTCCGCGGCAGGCGCCCGTGCGCATAGGCATGCAGCGGAGCGCAGAAACAGTCGCTAACAGCCCGCCAGGGGTGGGCTGACAGTGCAAACGCTCCCTTGCGCTTCCTCCATGGTATCCTCCAGTTTCATTCGCTGTAGTGTGAACGGGAATACCGTGAACAAGCCTGTCTGTTCTGGGTCTTTTTTGCCACGACTCCCTAGCGCTCCCACACATCAAGCAGGCCACACACTGGATCTGATCTTCGGCATGGAGATATATATATATCTGACTACTACTGATGTAGTGCCATGGTCAGATTGTTTTGCCCTGAAGGCCCAGCTGGGTACACCAGCTCTCTCCTGTCTTAGGTGGCGAGCAGATTTATGCCTGCTTGTGGAGACGAATGGACCCAATTGGCTTCCAGAATGCTCTGCGGGATACAAGCCCCCCCCCAGCGATTCATTTGATGAGCTGACAGAGGACTAGAGTACTCATCTCTCTGAAGCCACTGATGAAATTGTTCCCTGACTTCCTCTTCACTCCCGTCCCAAACTAGTCCCCC